GAGGCGAGCGCGGTGGCGGCGGTGAGGTGAACTGCCCGAGACTCGGCCGGCGGCCAGCGCCCCAGCCCGGCCCCGGCAGCGCTGCTTGCCATCCCCGGGTCTCCTCCACTCACCTGCCTGGCTTTGGCAGGGGAGATCTGGTGGTGCCACCACTTTGGGCAGCACCACGAGCCTCCCGGCCAGGGGAGTGTGTTACATTAACACGTAGTAGGACGGGGCAGTGCTGCGGGGTTGGCCGCCAGCTGACACCGGACGCGGGCAGCCGCGGCCCCCAGGGCTGCGCTGTAATTTAGCCTGTGTTCATTTAAGTTTGTCCTTTACCTTGGCCTCGTTCACAGCTGACCCGGTTCTTCTAGGATCCTGGAAACAGTTTAACCTAAGGGAACACTTTGGATCTCAAGTGCTGTAAGAAATATAAACCACAAAATCTTCCCGTTGCTGACCCGTCCGTAAGGTTTAGCTTAACCACAAAACCTTTTTTTTTTTTTTTCTTTTTTTCTTTTTTGAGCTGTTGAGAAGAGCATGTGTCTAAGAGCACAGCCGTCCACAGCTTCTTTTTGCAACAGTTGATACTACTAATGTCAAGCAGCGAGCCCGGGTGTGGGGGGGAGGCCGCCGCGTCCAGACCGTGTCCGCTCGGCAGCAGTTTGTGCCCGGCCGCGTCCCGCGGGGCTCCCGGTGCCGCCCTCCAGAGGTGCCTTTTAGAGGAACTTCAGGGTTTTTTTTTTTTTTTCCCCCCGAACGCCTCACCCCTTATATTTGGTTGACCCAAACTACAGTAGTCCTTAAGCACCTATTCTGCATCTACCTGCTTGCTGCATCTTGCTTAAAGCTGGTGAGTACTTTTTTCTTTTCCTCGTTCGGCAGCCTTTCCATATTGGGGAAAAGTTGGCCCGGTTCATCACAGTTTCTCCAGGGATGTGTTTTGAATAGTGGGCTTTTTTTTTTTATGTGCCCCCAAATGTCAGTCCTTTTGTGTCGTTCAGAGAAGGTATTGAGCAGCTCCCCAGCTGTGTCCGTATACAGTATTATAAACACTTTTCTGATCTTTTCGTGTGAAAAAAAAAAGCGTTTAAAGTTCTTTATTCACCCATGTTTGTGTGTCTTTACTACAGAATCTGCAGCAGTTTGCTGACACCTTTAAAAACGATCCTTCCCTTACGCAGGTGACAGTGCTAATAGCGACGTTTATTCATTTTCTGGCAGCGGGCTTTAAGCTCCCAAGCTCTTTGGAAGGGTTAAGAAGGGATGCAGGCTAACATGAATATTTTCTGTATTTTTTTTCTCTGTTATAAAAAATATATCTGGATCCATGGAAAAGACTTGTGCAAGAAATATGTATTTTATTTGACATTTGCAGTGAATTGTGAAATTCTTAGTGTCTGACTAAACCATAATTAATGTTCTCAGAAAGGTTGATGTAAAATAGCCTTGTGCTTATTATTAATCAGTGGGAAATGGCTCTCTGATGTGCTCTGTTGCTTTGCCGCTGTTATTTCAGAGTTTTGATTTGTTATCTGTAAACTGATTAGTGCCAAAGCTTTGGTCAAACGTTTAATGAAGTTGTTATATTTATTATTTCTTTCAAAGATTATACAAACATTTTTTTCCTTGATACTTGCAGTGTAGGGAAAAAGTCATGACAACCAAAGAATCATATCTGCAAACAGTGTAGATACTTGTAGATATTTGTAGATATGTGTAGATAATCTTATTACATTTAAATTGAAAAGACATTGGACAGTGACATTTATAAATGCTTTTCCTCTCCTTTCTTTCTTGTTTAATTACTTGCGTGTTTGTCAGTTTATCCATCTAAAGCTCCCCTACAAGCTGAAGTCACTTAAATAGGAGGAACACGAACCTGTAGTTTTAATATTGGTTTCACCTGAGGAACTAATGACTCTTCATACGTGACTGTTCCCTCCCTTCTCCCTAGTTTGGGGGCTGCTATAACGATCATTATGCAATGACTGGCAGGGTTGGAGTTCCAACCTAAAATGGGCACAGGGCACTTGTGTTTTCTTTAAACACAGATCGATTCCAGCGAGGAAGTGCTGCTTTTCGGTACAGATTTGCCATAGACCTTTTCAAACACACTCACGAGAGCTGAGGGAACAGCCCAGTAGACCAGGACTAACACGTGCTTTTACAGAAAGTGGCTCCAAGTCCTTCCCTTGGTCGTATGAAGTTCATTTTTTAACCCTTTGGAAGAAAAGAAAATCACAGGTCAAAACTTCTACCTAGCTGTGGAGCAGTGGTCCTCAGGGTCACTGGGGTAGAAAAACACAAACAAATCATATACAAAAAAGATCCTGCTACGCATTGAGGAGTAGAAGCTTTATGAAAACTACAGAAAAACTGCAACATCAAGAAGCAGAAATATTTTAAATTCATGTACCTATCAATGGGTTAGTTGAGATGTATCATGTGCAGGTCATACTTCATCTATATGTATTGCAGCTTCATTTGAAAAACAACTCCGTATGATTTGATTATCTTCACTCAGTGCATACGATCACTGACGTCCCAGTCAAATACTGCGGGGTACCGCATTTTCAGACAATACTCATGGTCACCACAAGTCACACACAACACTATTTAAGCTGCTGATAAAACAGACCCAAGCACAGAGGTTTTAAGCAACCTTTGTCTCTCCCAAACAGGGCTACAGAGTAAATTAGCCGTGTGGCTCCTTTTTCCAGAGGTGCAGGCTGAATTTACTGGTTGCTCAGCGTATTTGGAACCACATCGCTTACACCAGTGGGTAAATATAGGATTAGGTATCTACAGGTGAAACGATGGAGTTCTGTGCCTAATCACTTACACCAAACACCAGAGACAGCTCAGGTTTGCAGAAACATATTTGTTTGGGATTTTTTTTTCTTCCTGATGGATCTGACTAAATTCATTGTAGGATGTGAGCATAGCAGTGATATTTCTATATGCTTACAGTGTTTGTGCATAATGTTTACACACTTTGTGGATGTTATTTGAAGTCTTTGCCTGATTTCAGGGAGATTCAAGAGCTGCTTGGGGTGGAGCTGAGGTGGGGGGGTCACTGTAAGGTGCTTATTTGTGTCCAGGGCAGTTGATGCCACTTCGGCCACTCATGTAAACCTGGTCACGGCCATTGCTGGGGGAGCAAATAACATGGACTCCTGCATGCTACAGTCCATGTAACAGTGGGTTGAGGGGTGGAGGGTGACCCAAGGGCTGTGGTAAGAGTGAAAAGGAATTTTGAAGCCACCAGGAAAGCCATACAGGAAAGGCTCGGATCAGCTTTTGTGACTGTTCACACAACTATTGAGCCCTGGAGGTTTTATCCCGGTCTGTTCTGATGGGCAAGATCCACCTATGAGATCATGAAAAACAAACATGCACCTGCAAAATCATCTCTGCGTGCAGTGAGGTTCCTGCCTTTGGTAGAAGCTGCAGTGGTTTTTATGCTCGGGTTTCTGCCAGCTATGAGCAGAGACACTCATCCCTCACCGCACACACACGCACGCTCTACAGATCCCTGTACCATTTAGCTATTCATGCCCTACTGGGTTTCCCTTTATTCCTGCCACGTTGCATCCTTTGCCAGGAAGCCCAGGACTTCTCTACAGGGAATGCTGCAACCTTGGATGGTTTAAATAGTCTTCCCTTCCCCCACCAAAAAAAAATTATAAATGAGCAAGAATAGTTTATATAAAGTCTGGCATCTTCACCCTTCGCTTCAGGCTTTGGGTGAGGGATCACAACCTGCTTGTGAGGAGATGCTGCAAAGGGAAGGGGGGTGCTGCAAGTCTCCGTTGCTCGGCGTGCCCTGCCCAGGGTTTGGTTTCTCACGTGCCTTGCTCCTCTGGGAGGCCTGAATTGCTGCAGTGTTTCCTGCAGGAGCCCCTCCTGCAGGGAAGGAAGGGCTGAGTGCAAGGCCCAAGAACTGGAACGTGTGTGTGCGAGTAGGGCAGCTTCCCCTGCCTGCAGTAGTTGTCCCTTTCTAGATAATGGTGTGAATTTCCCCAGAAACGTTAATTCAGTCAGAATTCCTCTTAGCCCAGGCTGCCCTTTAAGTGGGTGCAGGTGTTCTGGAGGGAGTGGGGGGTCTCCCCCAACTCGTGGTTTCTTAGTTCATCCCTTGTGGCCAGCAATGGCTAGTGGGGCTGAGGGTCAGGGGGGGCCACCTCTCCTCTTGTGCCGTCCCCCCTCTGCCAAGGAGACCTCATTCTCTTCAGCAAGTGGATTTCAACCTGTGAACAGGACTACTTTGGTCTGAAACGGATGAGAAGAGTTAGCGTCACAGAAGCTGTGTAACATTCTGCACATGTAAAAATGTCTAAATGGTGCCTGTGACCACCGGAAATGTTAGGCACCCTGGCATTTTGTCTGAGACTGCCTCAAAGCCGTGTTGGACAAGCCAATGCCGATGCAGCAGTTCAGTTTAGCACCTGTGAGGAGCTCAGGAAGTTGCCCCAAGTCTGTAGACGTGTGTTGGTGTGTGTGTGTGTGCGTGTGCACACGTGGAATTTTGCTTCTTGTTGCGCTTCCCGCTGTTGCTCCGTGGACAGAGGCTGCTCGCGGGGGTGCGCGCGCTGCTTTGAGCGGCGGGAGCGGAGCGCGGGGGACGCGGCGCCCACGCCCGGGGCGGCGCGGGAGCTGCGCGCCCGCCGTGCCCGAGGCTCCCTCCAGAGGGGACTGTCGCGCACTGCGCCGCTCAGAAGGGTCCCCAAGGAGCCGCGGAGCAGACCTGCAAGAGCGCGGGCTGAGAGAGAGAGACACTCCTGTCAGTAAACCAAGGCCTGATCTTTAAAGTGCACAGGCATAAATGAAGGAGGATGTTAATCTGGGAGCAGCTGTTCAAGACAATTAGTACTAATTTAGATGTTACTTTAACATAGTATGTGAAGAGTCAGCGAATAGCATAGTGGCTAATATGTGGGTATGCTTTTGTAAACAAATGTATCTTTTTAAAATTCACTTAATTATTCTTATTTAGTTAATCTGTAAGATGTTTTACAAGAATGAGTAAAACACCTAGAGGAAAACAACTGTGCAAAGGCGGCTATTACTGGTCCTATGGTGAATGTGATGCGTGCTTAGCTCTTTATTGAAGCAAATGACAGGCAATGTCTGTGTGAAGCTAGTTAGTGTGCCAGAGGTTTGCAAACCCTTAAGCACTGTATTATACATATATATATATAGTCCACTATATTGTGCACATTCTCAATGAAAAAGCAAGAGACCGTTTATGATGATACACATTAATTCTGGGACATACGGCCATGTCCTATACACACCATGTATGTGCATCTCTCCTTTTCAAGGTCCACCTCGCGTCTGGAGGGCTATGTAAAGCACTGCATGTGATAGATAAGTCAGAAAAATGCATCCACCATCCTCCACCTTAATAGAAATGACCTATTATAAATTTAGCAAAGAGATTATACTTTTATAAATTGGCCACATATGTCTGTGCAATATATTTATTATATCACATTTCATAGCATTTCAATTTTATGAAATTCAGCCTTGAATATGTCACATATGTTTTGCATATATATGCAATAGTCAGCCAAGTATATCCAAATAAAGTATGATAAATGTGTCCTTTCCATCTGGGAAATTATATGTTTTCCCATTTTTTTTTTTAAGTTTATGAAGAGCAGCCTATACAAAATAATTACAATAAATCACTCAGGTTAAATGTACGAATTTGAACTAGTAACCAAGTGATCAAGAACAAAAGCCAGAAAGGTCGTATTTGAGACCTAAAGGTAAAAGAGAGCACCTGTATTTGCAAGACTAGCGGTTACATGGTGTAAAATCATGCAAAGCTTGTAGAGCAGCTTCCAGCTGATGCTCCCAGAGTGATTCTGTAACTGATAACGGACACCTCTCATCACCTGCATGAGAGCATCAGCATTTCATTGCAGTCTGCCTCATTCAAAGCAAGTGCCCTTTTGCTTCTGTTCTACCTTGGAGTCTCGTTACCAGGCTGCTCTTGGGGTTTTCCCCTTTTTTTTTTTTTTTTTTTTTTTTTGTATGAACAGCTCTTAGTGGGCATTTAGATGGAGAGGGTGTTTTCTTTTTGCTGCCTAACGTGCTCTCACTGAAGATGGTTTAAGGAAGGAAGGCACTGGTTGTTTTAGTGGGCAGGGCAGTGACACGGGGCTGTGCTCTATACCTGCCTGTAAAACGGGTAATTGCACAAGTGCCCAGGTACTCAGACTG